AATTTTGGTTGCAGTAAAAAAGTCAATACGGAATTAAACTATTAGACTATAAATAATACCGATTATGTGTTGCTAAATGACATCACTCCTACCCATACCAGTAAAGTATATCACATTAGTGATATAATAAGCCGAAAAATTAAAGACCGATCAGTTTAACTAGTTGTTTAGACAAAATTCTAGAGCGAATAATTAGGAATAGGATCTTAAACTTTCTGGAGATAACATCAAAGTTACCTGAAGTTCAAAATGGTTTCAGAAAATTTCGTGAAACAACTGATTATTTAGATAATCCAACTGAAACCGTAATAGATAGCTTTAACCAAAACAAATGCACTGAAGACATTCGACACTGTATGGCATAACGTATTAACATTCAAATTAAAAGAAATTGAATTACCAACAGGAGTTATTCGCTGGTTATCCAACTTTCTTGACAGAAAATGTTAAGGACATCTCCTTGGAGTATTTTACTCCAGAGGCAGGTGTTCCTCAGGGAGGTGTAGTTAGTTCTATCCTTTTCATCCTGCATGTGACATGCCGTTGAATGATATTAATTGTAACTCAAATTCACAGTTTCATGATGACGTGGCCTATCTGGAAAAGCTCAGCCACACCCTCAATAGCACCAAACAATTTACAACCAGATGTAAATCAAATAGTATAAAACAGTCACAAATATAGAATCAAACTTAATATACCGAAAACAATATTAATTGTATTCGCAAAATCACACAAACTACATAGAAATCCTCTCAAATTACATCTAAACGAAGGTCTTCTTGATACCAGTTCATCAGGAAATATTTTTAGGATTAACATGTGATTCAGAATTAACTTGGATCAATATGTATTTATTTTTAATATGAACGTTGTTTGGAATGAATTTGTAGTTAGAAATATGCGTGACTTGTAGTATCAAATATGTGTTGCGTATAACGAATTTGTTATATATTTATTTTAATGTCAACGTTTGTTTCGAATAAGTTTATATTTGAACGCGTGTCTAGCTTACCATGTTAGTTATATATGGCGAAACTCCCGCCAGTTCTCCAAGATTGTATAATATTCGTGAACACAAGAATCAAAAATATATCCACTTCCATAACCGGTATTATCAGAAGTTTCTAGAAAATGTGTCTCGCCTATAAAAACAGTAGGACAAAGCGCCATAAAACAACAGAGAAGAGACAAGTCTACTAGAAAACTGTTATAGCCGTGTAACTTATAAACTGTGATTTTGCTAACCCTTATCAACCAGAAAATATAGAACATTTGACCAGGAACAGTTATAAATTTTGAACGTCAGTGAATTATTATCAAACGTTAATATCTGTACAAAAATATTACTGATTTGTCGTCGGACATTAGTGGTTTTTATAAAAATAGTATCTTACTTTAACGGTCCAACAATTCATTTCCTGACAAAGCTAGCTATTTTCTGGACAATTGTACAAATCAACTTCACATCAACCCATTTTAATATCAAGGGGACTCTGAACTAGAAAGACGATTTTAGGCTGTTTGTAAGTTAGTGAAATTTATGTTTATGAAACTTGGTTTGTAATAATTAATCATAATAGTTGTTATTGTAAATTATACTGTTGTATATATATATATATTAAAACGTATTTGTGTCAAAACAAAAACGGTGTGAATCAATCTTGTTGGCAAATAGCGTTAATTAAATAAAATATCGGCATATTTCTAAACACTAAATCCAGGGTACAGTTCAACTATTAAAAGTTAAATTATTTAACGCGGCTTTGGATTATTTCAAATTCTCAATACGTAACACAGCCGAAATAAGGAAAAAAGTGTGGCAACGAGCAAACGATCTTAAAAGATTAACAGGCAAAAACACAGGAGCACCCACGGAAACCATTATTAAAACTTATAAATAATATATCAGACCAGTCATTTGATATGCATGCCCAGCATGGTTAAATGTAACAAGAAACTGCAAATCATACAAAATTCAATACTAACTATAGCTTTCAGAGTACCAAAATACACAAACTCAACAGTTCTATACAATTACACAAACTTACTCCCACTAAAAGACAAACTGTTAGATTGCTCGTTCCGCTACTTTAATAGAAATTTATACAAAAATGATTTGTTAACCGAAATAGATCGCTGTATCATACACAATGTTGATGGGGCTAAGTGCCTCTGTCCATTAAATTTCTACTTTAAGAATAAGACCACCTGCATTAGATGTCAAAATTTGTTACCAAGACTTAGATAAAACTGATGTATTTAAAAAGGGTATTCATGTATAAATACGCTTTGGTGAATATATATTGAGAACAAGTGTGATTTAATATCGGAACTGTTTGTGACCATACACAACCGAATGAAGCAAAATACCTCGGTGTAAACTGTTTGGAGAAGAATTAAAATTACACTAAATACTACTAGAAGTCTATTCAATGACACGGCCCTGAAGATAAATCAGTGTTTTGTGTCGCACAATACCATCAGTAGCATTTTCAGTTTTTAATCAATAGTTAAGGAGGGAGGAAGAAGTCTAAAATGCACCTGACCCTCCCAGGTCCTCAACGATCTAAAACATGGTGCCGAACATGCGAAAAAATCACTAACTAATCCTAAAAAGTAACCTTCAGTAAATATTAAATGGTTCGATTAAAGCGAACAGATCTAATTTTATACAAAAAAATGGTAAAGGATGCCGTAAAACAGCCACAGTTTTAGTAAGTTGTCAAAAAAATAATAGAAATGGTGAAACTGTTTATAAATTAAAAAGAAACAAACAACATTAGCTTAAAACTCAATACAGCTTTTAATTTCAAATATCCGCGTTGTCGTGGTGTCTCTACATTATATATATATACAGAAAAACAGCTACAAGATAACGCCCCCTAAAATTAATTTGGACTCGACGCGTTCAAATGTCGCCATCATACAGCTTAGTAAATAACTGATTAAAGTTAGGTGAGAACTACTTATCCATCATTATTTAACATAAGAGGGATGCTTTTCATTGATAGTTAAATATACAGCGTAGTTTGTGTTTCTTCCAAATTCTCGGATCCTATATTTACACATTGAGACAAAGTCACCTGTGCCATTTTAATACTAGAAATAAGCGACCTGTTATTTTTTTCAGCCAACTATGAAAGTAATGGAATGGACTGAGAAAACATTAAAAGGTATTACACGTTGCATACTTGCTGAACACGAAAGGCACCTAACTGATGCGTTTTATGTTAGCTTTTAAATAGAATCCAGTCAAACTGGCTAATTGTAAACATCTTACTTGATTTCTGATGTTTTGATTTAATCCCTTAGTTACGTTTCTGCTTAATTTTATTCTACATTCGCTTTCCTTCTGCGATTCTTTCTAAACCAACAATTTATTTTACGATAGAATGCACTACTTTTCCTTCATACTGAACTAAGTTGTGTTAAAACTAAGTGTCAGTTAAAGCATAGACTTACTTATTATGGATAGAGAAATTTCTGAGTATCGGGTTCTGGCCTTTTTGAAATCTACGCGACAAATATAGGTTCCTTTGTCTTCCTTTGTCACAGTTGCCAGTTGAAGAGTAGCAGGCTTGGAAACAGTGCTGAAGTAAGTTCTAGTAGCGTAACTATCACTGGACGAATGTCTGCCATGTCCTGGTGACCCACCTCTTCTTGCATCTAGGCTGTAAAATGGCGTGGAAGAATCATCTCTGTACCAGAGAACTAAAGCCACTTCATCATCTGGTGTTAGTGGTGAGATGTTACATGGCAACTCAACATCTTTACCCTGAACTCCTTTTAGGGATATCGGAGGCTCTGTAAAAACAGTACGTAGGTTTATCATGAAACACCAGTCTTTTGAAAAGAAGCAATGATATCAATTGACACTTAGAGCACAATAGAAAATAATGAAGTTAGTTTGGCCAAAATTAAAGTTCTATTTAATTTATTAATAAAAAACCAAATACCTTAATTTACGCTTAATTATATATCATCTTGAGTTTTATTATTGAACAGCAAGCTGCTTATAGAGACCACATTAGCAACACCGATATTACATAGTGAGTAATTGTCCACAAATCCCACCAGAAGAAGAGAAAAAAATTAACAAATCTTTACTATTATATGAAAACTTTCGGAAGAGGTCATCTTTCTTCGATATTTTTAACTAACGCTTATATACAACATAGTTACTGAATTGCAATTATACATTTAGTTATAATAATGCACTTGCAATATGAATACACCTACGGGAATTTTTAAGCTGTGAAGAATATATGTTAGTTATAGGAATATCATAATACTTAATTTTGTGGACTGAATGAAGAATGAATACACTATCTGTACTTAAGTCCAATGTATTCGTGAAAATAACAGCCTTTTTACCGTTGCAGATTTTTTATTAATTCACCGCGAAATGCATAAAATGATCTAACGAGATTGAAAAAAGTCGTTTAATTCTGTTATTGACTGAAAACTGGCCTGTCCAGTTTTTGCATCAAATTAATATTTATATATATGTTAATTTGTAGATTAAACACCAAAGTTTGTATTTACTGTGTTTGCACATTTACAGGAAATACAAATATGCATTCCAATATATATGTTCCTTGAATACTGTATTTCTAAGAGCGATGGACATCACCATTTCACACGATATTTTAAATTCTCTTTAAGAAATAAATGCAAATATATGTTATGCTATAATATTATTGGTTTCGACTCTAGTATATCATTTCATTAATGGCTGAGAAAACATTCTACACATTCCATTATGTTATAAGTTCAAGCTACTTTTCAACTTGGAAGAACAGAAATATGTTTTCATACAAAATGCTTGGAAAATATTATATACCTAATATGATTGTTTAAGTCAAACTACAATTGTGTAAACTATAGCAATAAATATACAGGAGTCATAAATAACAAGTAATTATAACAACACGGTGAATTTATAAATACTGTACAACATTATCACAAGTAGTTAGGAGTGTACCCTTGTGCCCAAAGGATACCATCTCACTGGGAGGTCACCAAGTGAGTGGAGATCAAAAGATGCCGCTTGAGGGTTACATCTCTATTACTTAACATGCAAATTACACCGACATCTAAAGATTATACAACTGTCCGACAGTTTTGGAGTTATTAACCAAGAACATATTCAGTGGCTTATAATGCTAAAAGTCGGGGCACACTTTGTGTGATGCTTGCAGTACAAGGAACCCATTGCGCAGCTTTATGCTTAACAACAGAGAAACATACTGATAACTTTAAATTCCGAAATGTAAGTTTTATATATATACAGCACTGGAAACGATTATGAAAGTGGTGAGAAAAACGGGTGTAAAAGGCAAGAATTATAAGAATGCCTCACTTTCGTGTGAAAATTAAATGCAGAGTATACTCATGTGTTTATATCGTAGATTGTGGTTTGTTGTCGTCCAATCAATGACAATGTTCCTGCATTAGAATAAAGCCTATAAAAATTGTAAGCAGTCATACTATTCCCAGTAGTAGTAGTGTGATCCATTCAGTGCTCACAGGACTGAAATACCACCTGAAAATCGTGTAGAAGTCATAAAATTTCTGCACTGTTCTTTGTTTCAGTAATAGCTCAAAGCAAACTTTGAATAGGAGATATGTGAAACCGTCACTTTAAAAACAGAAATGATTAGGATAGAAAACCTAAATACAGATGTAAGCATTACCTCTAGAACAGTAAGATGCACATTAGCGAGAAGTGATCTCAATGGACGTGTAGATGCTTCTGAGAAGAGATGACGAACTCAAAAAGTTCAAATAGATATCTTCCACAAACAGTGGAAAGGGAAACACTGAAGAGATGTATTCTTTACAGATATACCAAACATCAACTTACTCGATAACATTCAATGACAATTAGTTCAAAGTTGAAAAAAAAAATCAATATCATAGCCAATGACAAAAATCAAAGCATGGTGGAGGATCATTACAAGTTCGGGACACATCTCAGTCAACAGTGTTGGTGATCTTCACAAAAGTGATGGAACCCCCCTGACAGCTTACAAATACAAATAGGTTATGGTCCATCATGTCATTCCTTTAGAAACATGACTCATCAGGCAAAGATTCATTAACTAACAAAATAACAATTATAAATGTGGGTGGAAAGGCCTATGACTTGGCCTACATAAATTTCCAATGTGAATATTCTAGAAGGCATATGGAATTACGTAAAATCTGAAAAGATCAAAAGGTGGCATACCATATCTTGTTGGGTTAGCTGGGAATGCAACATTTAAAGTTAAATACCTTAATAAATGATGTAACGTTGATGACTGATATATTGTTTTGACTGAGCCTTTTTTTACATTTCTAGCTAACCCCACGAGGTCTCATATTGATCGAGCGATCTCGTTAGCAACAGCATGCATCACAAAGTGTATACAGTCCAGACACTGTTACATTTATCCTTGTTGGAAACCTGTATTAAAGGGACAGTAAAGAATGATTTTTAAAGAAACATTATCAATTTATTGGCACGTGTTCATACATTTAGCATAGATTGAACATAAGTTTTTTTTGACTCTGTATACCATAAATCAAGTAGTAGGTGACATACTTTCCATTAGCTTGTCTACATTTCATGGACCCTTGGCCACATACTCTGATGATCTCAGTATGAGACCTCATGGTTGTCATCAAACATGGGTACCTGTACTGCTTTATTTTTGCCTGTGAAACTAAACTATACAGTGGCAAGAGGTTCTGCAATGTGAACCTATTTACCGTGATAAGAACGTTTTTATCAGTCATTGTAAAATCACCCCGAGAGTGGATAATGTTTGTTTCATCCCTACAAGATTGGCTCCTTAATATATGAACATAAGTTTTTATGACTGTAAGTTAACTGTGCAATAACATGTTATGGCCTTATCATATTTTTATTACTAAAATGAATTTTACTAATTTTCGTAAGTCTTATAACAATTTCATTGATGTGTGGGATGCAAAAACTAAAACTCTATTATTATGTTATATACAATATGAATAATACTAACTTAAAAATAACAAGCATGGTCTAGATAGGCCATACACCTTTGAGCAGTGGCTTCTGGAAATAAATCTAATCACGCTAGTTAATGTTTGACATGGTTTTTATGTGAATTTATATGAATGCTCTTTATAGACTGAATTCATATAAAAGGATAAATATATCTTTTCTTGTATGCCATAACTTTTGCCGTGAGATCAAAGAATTCTCAAATATATCATCATATTGAAAACGTCCAATATGATATGTATGGTACTTATTGTTCCAATGATAGAATGGTGTAAGATCACAGTATTTAACACATTTTTATTCTTTATATCGTACAAGAACCTGATAGCGTTAATTCTGCTTCGACAAAAACTTGATCAGCACTGAAACGACCGCAGATTATGATATTTTATAAAATATAAATGAATGACAATACATCATATTAATAACGTTGCTGTTACTACAGTGAATATCTAATTTCCGTAAATATTATAATGTTTACAAATTATTAATATCTATGTGAAAAGAATGATCTTACAATTTCGGTTGTGTTCTTCAAATTTATCCAAGGGGCAAATTCCGCTGACAGCTCGAAACCCTTTGATATTTAGGAATAACACAAACTGAAACACTTATGAATTATAAAATACTGGGATGCTAAGATTAAATTTACTTTCATACAAGTCTAGTATATTTCAGTTAGCGTACAGTTCTTGTATACTTTCTACTCAGTTAGACACTTCTACTGCACTTTGTTCATTAGTCAATGACGTCAACTTGAGAATCAACCTTTTCTATTGTCATGCAATATATAAAGATAAAACAAGAACTAATATATTTCAACTGATATATATCAACACAAAACACTGATTGTAACTGTACAAATTAAGGTGATACTGATATTTCTTTATGTGTCTAAACAACTATACCCTGAAGAAGTTAGACTATGTATAGATCTTGGTAACTTATATATGTAAAAAATAGTTGTTTTAAACTACAAATATGTGAGTTCTAAATCAAAAACAGAAAGTATCTTCCTAATGTAGCCTCACATCTTAAGATTGCCATAAATGTACTTTTCGCTTTCTCTATCGTTATTTAAAAGAGAAGAATATATAAATTCATTTTTACTGACTGTAAAGTTCAGTAACATACAAAATCTGTTCTTCATTGTCAGACTTACATACAAGTTATTTTGGTTGTAAAGTATATTCTGTAATAATAAACAGTGTATATGATAGATTTATAATATAAGAAACAATCATCCTTTCTTGTAGACAACATCTTTATCGTAATAGATAACAACATTTAAATATTTTCTCAACTTTTTTATTACTATCACAGTTATTTTACAGATTATGATTTTAAAATCTTCAAAGTCAGGATGCATATTATTTTTAATAAATCTTGGACAACGACATATATATTTATGGCAACCTATTAGTTTGTGGTGGAACACGTTAGTTTTAAGTGTAGGGTAGGGGTAATGTGAGGTTCAAAAATCTAATTCCCAGCTTGACAGGGGACAGTCAAATTAGTTATGGATTTCAAATGCATGATATGTTTTGTAAAATGTCTAAACGAAGAAACTTTCTATGCTCACATTAGCTCAAATAACTTTGGGGAATGTTCCTTATGTTTTGTTTACAGTGAATTACTGTCTTTTATTAATCAAATGCTGGAACAAATATATACTGTAGATATTATTACATTGTGTTGTAGGTTGGTATTTTATAAACTAAGATGTTTTTTATTTCGTAAATAGTATATCTAATTCTAAGATTACAGTTACAAT